TCGAAGAAGGCTGCAGAGAGGAGCAGGGAGATGGACGAGTGCAAGGATAACTGAATTCAGTTTAACCTGTTATGATGTTGATGCACTTGTAGAATACAAGCATTTCACTGAAAGAGATTCTCTGCTCCCCTGAGAACACAAGGACAAGAAAAGGTCTTTCCTTTCTTTTTGCATAGTACTTCAGCAATACTTAAAAGTAACAGTGCAACAAGTTATTCTAATTGAGTTTCTGAAGCAGATGTAATGACCTCAGCACAAATCAGGACCTAACACATCATCAGTCGGTTCTTAGCAAGTTAAGAAAAACGGTCATTTACTTTACTTGATGTGAGCAACTGAATTTTTCTGTCTTAAAGGTTGCTGTGTGCAATATCGCTGGCATATGGGGCTGGTAAAACCAAAGGATGAGTACTAAAACACTATGTCTGACTTTTGAGTGGTATATCTTTTTTTCAAATATTAACCAAATCTTCAGAATCCATGTTAAAGCAATACAATTTCAAACCAAGGAAATTCATCTTTCCAGCAATTGTTTTTTGCATAGTTTAAAAATCATGTAAATTGTATTCGTTTCCTACTTACATCACACGATTCTGTACTCTTTTACTTATCCTCTTTTAAACATGTAATTATTGTATATTGTAACTGCACATTAATATCATCTATTGTACATAGTTTATTTTAACAAAATAAATGTATTACTAAGTATTTTGACAGCATCATTTTGTGAAGGTATGGTGCTGTATTTATTTTCCCAGATGTTAATCACATATAACTTTCAGGACATTTCAGGTAGGAAAAACACATACTAACATATAAGGCTGCTTTTGGATGGCTCTGGAACTGCCTTCAGAGGTTGCCAACTGCCAGGGTTGCCTTCAGAAAATCAAACAAGAGGGGTTCCTGCAGCTGAACCTCAGCAGGCTTAACTAGCCCTGCCTGGGGCATGCACTCACAGAGCAAATGGTGCCAAGGTCTATTCCTAGTAAAAAGACACTGCAGCCCAAATCCCTGGCTGTTATAAATGGATACATCCCCAGAGGAGCCAGGACACAGCATGTGCCCTGTAATATATCCGATTTACCTGCCCCTGGAGGAAGTTGGTATTAGTCACCAGACTTCCCATGGCCAGATTTTGTCTGGGAAGAAGCAGCGTGGAGGACCCACACATCTGGGGTTAACAACAAGGTGCCGAATGCATCCTCCAGAGCAGAAACTTCCTCAACTGCTGCCTGCTAAAGCCGGATGGATATAGCAGGGGAAGGACACCTCTCTACAGCCCTGATGCTTTCACATTTCCCCGAGTCCCTACTGTCCGTGGCAGGATATTGGGCGTGACAGCCCCTTGCTCTGACCCAGGGTGGCGGTTCCTATGTTTTCATGTGAGTACAATGAGAGCAGGGTCCCCCAAAGAGAAATCCAGTCAGCGCAGGAAACACACGTCCGGGGAGGGTTCCTGCCCTCCCTCTCACTGTAACTCAGGTTTGAGGACAGAATAAAATGTTTTGACTTCTGTCGTGGTCAGTCTGGCTGGGCACACCAACTGCAGCACAGGAATGAGGTGAGCTGAATGTCAAGACCCAATGGACTTTTGTAACCATCATATAAGAGGAAAGTATTGTGAAAAATCAAAGCACTGCTCAACTGTGACTATTACTGTTCAAGTTAAAAGAGCAACAACAAACCTGAGAAACAGAGTGCTGTGCAGGTTATAGATATAACTCATCACAAGGGACTTTACAGCCTATACACTCCAAAACACACTCTGTGTGTGTGTGTGTGTGTGTGTGTGTGTGTGTGTGAATTGGCTGTATCATCACTCCCAGTGTCCAAAAGGGAAACTGAGGCACAAAAGGATTTGCCCTTCTTCACTTGGCATGTTTATGGCAGAGCCAAGAGCCAAATTACAGTCCCCAAGTGTCACAGTCATGCCTTCTCCGTATCTGTACCTTCTCCTTCCCGAGCAGGCAGATGCAGCCACCTCCTTTCTTACAGAAAGTCTTTCACTGCAGCAGGTATTTCAAGCTGGGGCTGCAGAGCCGTGAATGCTTCAGTGCCGAGGCTTTGCAAAGGAACTTCTCTCTCTCCCTGCTTTGCAAGTACAATTCTCCCAGGGAGTTAAATTTGCCCTTATATATGTAGAGCAAAATTTCCTTCCCTTGCTTTTAGGTAGCTCAAGTCATGCCAGATTAAACATGCAGTGGCAAGTGACACTTTTAAGAGATCCATGTTGCATTCTGTGAAAATTTTTGTCATGTGGTAGTGGTCAGTGTCCAGGTGAAAGGGACAACCAATGTGCTACAAAAAAACAGTAGGGGTTTTCACGGGACAGATAGCATTTGAGAAGCAACAGCCTCTGTGACAAACACTCCTTGCAATTTTATGCACCAAAGACAGAGGGCTGTTTAACTACTCTGGACAGGTGGGATGGTGAGATGTAAATCTGTGACTTTAAAGAGCATTAAAATGCCCCCAAGGAGATGCAGGTGGCCTGGGAAGGGGCTTCTCATGCTCTGAAATGTGTGGGCAATGTTGACAGCCTGTGAATTCTGAGCAGGACATACCATCCCAGCTGCAGTATAAAGGATGTGAAAGCCAAAATACCCGGTCACAGGTATCAAAAATTAGTGGAAATTTAATAGAGTTAAAATCTAGTAGTACAATTACTTCTGGAAAAAAAGCCCCAGATTTGTAATTATCAACAACAGGAATGCAGTTGGCTCCTTGAAAGTCACTGTTGTGTGCCCGCTTGTGGGAACCCAGCAGAGATGGACGAAGAGGGATGTGTACCAGTGGAATGGGTTGGTGGGATTTGGCATTGGCTGTACTTTTGTTACCCACAACAAATCCATAGCATTCGCTTTTGCACTCCTTAAAAGACCATCTAGAAGTGCTAGCTTGGTTCCAGTCAATACATCCTTCCCACCCTAGCTCTGCCGCCCCCCAGTCTGGCTGCTACTGCATCAGTCAAAACCCTCTTTCACACCATGCAGCGTTTTCTTCTGAACGCTCACTGAGGTTTCTACTGTCTCACCATATCTGGGTACAGCCCGTATTTCCTGTTGGCTGCAAAGGAAGGAATTTTGCCACTTTCTAACCCTACTTCTAGACCTGAGACTATAGCACAGCCAGACTCCACGAGAGAAATCCAACAAAGTAAATGACTTCCCATCAGCATCGAGATGTTTTGCAGGTGTTCACAGCTCTGGCAAAGAGCTTGCAGGAGCTGGTACATATTCTACATGAGAAATCTCTATGCATAAATAGAGGGACAAATTGTTTTCAATTGCTTTCATACTACAATTTTGAGGTTTAATGAGGACACAAAATAATTTTCAGGTTTCCCATAATAGTTGTGATGCCAGTTAGAACAACAACAAGATCAGAGGAACTGTGAGATACAATTTGAAGCAAAAAACAAGGACTTTTTAAAGGGCAGTTAAACTCTCCATCAGCAGAAAACTGTTCCTGCTGCTGTTTGACACAGCAGTCTCTATTCAGAATTACAGAAGGCAGAGTGATAAAATCACCTCCTTCCTACTCAACCACAGTTCAGCTTTTAAAATTCCACAGACAAAAAAAAAAAAAAAAAAATAACAGGTTAAATTAAATCTGTCGCGGTGAGGACAGGACACTTGGGGAAGTTTCAACCACACATTCCTGGAAATGAAGGTGACTGCATCCAGAAGACAAGACACTTAATTGAAGGGAAGGCAGGTGCAGATATTACTCTCAGCAGCAATTCTCTCCTAATGGCTATCTGAGAAGGTGTCTTTGTTTTGTAAGCTCCTGTGAGCCGCTCCCACTTGGCAAATCTTCCTACCTTCACATAATTTTCCATTTTGTTCAAGGGAAAAAATGAGGGAAGAACACGGATCTGTCCTGCAGGTGGGAACCAGAGGACAAAGGCACTTACTTGGCTGCGGTCACCGGGGGGCTGTTGCAGTAGCTCTCAGGTGTCCCCTAGTTTGTAAATAGTGGGTCTGAGGAGGTGTGAACCATCCTTGGGCACGTCTGCTCTCTTTCCTGCCCTGGGCTTGTCTCACCCATGTTGGCCAAATTACTAGCCACCCCATGGCTTTCCTGTGAGCACGTCTGGCTGCCCCCCAGCTCTGTGTGCACCCTCAGAGGAGCAGGTCTCCACAGAGCTGAGCAGCGCAGGGAAGTGTGAGAACACCCTTTGTAGCCCCCTCTTTCCCACCACCTCAGCCAGGGGCTTGCTGAAACCAAATCATGATTGTCGTGTTTTGGCTTGGTCCCTCTAGCTCTGGAAACTGTCAGGAGAGACTCCTTGGGCTCTGCAGTCTCTCTGATTCTACGTGAAGTCAGTTATCCCTTCTATCCCTGGACAAAAACAGATGGGAAGATATGCACTTTTGGCTTTACAGATTTAATGTATCTTTTTTGGTTTTTTTTTTCCCAAGAAATTGTCTCCTGTGAGGCAAGATTTTTTTCAATAGAATAGCTCCAATTAAGCAAATCACTGAAATACATGCTTAACTGTAAAAGTCCACTGATGCTAAGCAAAACACTTCATCATGAGCTTAAGTACTTTGCTGAGTCAGGGCTGCATATGCATTTACCTTAATTTCAAGGTAGCAATTTGAATACCATTTCCATTTCATTGGCCTTAAGGCCTTTTCTTTGGCTGTTATTCCTGATAGACATTAGGGTAAATAAAACTAACAGTGGGGACGAGGTGGCAAAAATGTTGGTAACTGCATTTACATTACTGGGAAGGAGCTAAAACCCAACATGAATAAAGAGGCTGTTAGATAGGTGGTAATGCTGCTGTGGCCTGTTTTCACCCCCCAGGGACTGTTTAGTCCATGTGCACTTTGTGCATGAAGAGAGGTCATACAGTGTGAAAAGCCTGTGAGGAAGGAAAACTGCCTTTTTTTTTTTTTTTTTTTTTTAAACCACAGGATTTGCTATTCTAAGACTGTGTACTACATTTCTACAGCAATAATGCTTTGAGGAGAGGGGAGTACGAGGAGAGGGGATTAAGCCTCATCTGCCTAGAAAAGTCAATGATTAGGAGCATTACAGTGTGAGATCAAACTCTTGACTGACTTACGCTCTCTGTAATGCTGGTGGTAGCAGGGATAGGAAGCCAGGGAAGAATCTGGTCCCCCCTCACCTGATCTGGGAAAGGAGAGCTCAGGCAGTCTCACATTCGGTCATGGCAGTGGAGCAGATGTCGCAGTCACAGCGGATGGCCACTGGGTAGGTGTAGAAGGGATCCACATCAGGGGCACACTTGGGCAGCTTCACCGTCATCATCTTGGTCTCATTGTAGATGCAAACACGATGGTAAGACTCGATGTAAGGTGGTTCCAGCACCCGTTTCTGTGGGGGAGAAATGCTGGCCTCAGGCAAGAAGCAAGTCAAACATCTGGAGTCCCAGTTTCCTCAAGGGGATTAGTGTAAACAGGGGAGCCACTGGGTCAGGTGAAAGGGGCCATGGAAATAACTTTTAGATTACATCCTTCAACACCTGCCTCTTGGAGCCTTGCCATGGAGGGGAGCGGGTGTATGTGCGTGTTTCTGTTTGTTTAAAGCATAAAGCTCCAATTAAGGCTGCTTGAAGAAGACAAAAGGCTATCCAAAAAGCTGCTTTTCAGCAGAATGATTGTGTTTCAACCAAATGCATGTTTGCCAAAAGCAGCTGCTTTCTTCCAAAAGGACAGATTTTCCATCAAAGAAAATGCATTCTGCTGGAAACCCTCCCATGTGCACAAGCTGCCTGAAAGCAGAAGTGCACCCAGGTGCCAAGCGGCTGTTTTTTTTCTCAGCCACACCAATCTTCCCAGTCAGGCTGCACATCCCACAAGGCCCCATGGATGGTACACCATGGGGGATGCACTCAGCACAGCAGCCAGCATCGAAATCTGCAGTTCCTCATGAGAAAAACAGCTTGGCCAGAGATCTCAGCCATCAGGAGATGACAGGAGCCTGAAGGCCCTTAAACCCACACTCCCAAGTGGTATCACAGTGGCATTGTTTGCACTGAAAAGTGAGTTTCTCCTTGACAGGGGCATCCATTTGCAAAGACTCCAAGAAAGGGCAGTGCAAGCAGGAATGGAAGTCCACTGTCCCCCTCTCCCTTGCACAGACGCGAAACGGTGTAATGTAACACAGCCAGGAGACATTTTAATTTTTCTTCCTTTCCCTCTGTGCTGTGCATACAGCCTGCCCTGGGAACTGAGAATGATGGCATGGAAACAAACAGATGCAGTGTCTCAGCAAGAAGATATCCAGACACTCTCCCTCTTACCAACTCCCCATCCATGTGCACCACCATGCTTTCTAGAAGCTGCTGAGCCTACAACCAGATGCATTCAGCTACATCCCAGTGATATTGCATTACGGTAAGAAAATCTGCAAGGTCTGTGCTGTCGGAGGAGCTCAAGAGTGGAGGGAACTGGGAAACAAAAGGTCCCTCAAAGGAACGTTATCCCAGTGGGGAAATCTGGACACCAGTGACCTTTCCCCTCATCCTACCAAGCAGTGAAAGAGAGCAGTAAGAGCTGGCACACAGACCCTGGCCCCTCCTCAGGTCACTTATATGGAGCCCTTGTCTTCACGTGGACAAAATCCCTCTGGAATCGCTTGAGGCTTTTCTGAATAAATTAAATGGGTCTGGCCCCTTGAGCCTTCCAGTGGCAGAAGGCAAAGACAGCCAGAAACCTGTTCTCTGAAGTGTGTGTAGATGTACTTATACTCTTTTTTCTCCCCCTGTATGCCCCCAGAGCATAACTATTTCATAGTTAGACAGGGCTGTGACTTAAAACAGGACCAAATTAGAAACAGCCATTATGTATGGGATTTGCTTTTTGGAACAAAATATATTACCCATCAATTGGGAGCTCCATCTTAATCTCAAAGGAATCTTTTCCAGTAAAGTAATAAAGACCTCTTCTTCTTAAGTGTTCGAGCTGTAAGAGGCTTTCAAATTGCATAATAAGAGTATAACATAAGTGCTTCATTAATATCATCACAGGATGTGCATCCTCCTTTGAGGCAGTGGAAGGAGGGAGGGAACAACTGCCAGGGAACACTGATGATAGTGGTAGCAGGGAGGTCGTGGAGAAAAACACAGCCCTTGCCTGTTCAGCAGATTGCAGTAAACTATGCAGTGTTTTGTGGATTTCTTTCAAGGACTTTTCTTGAGGTGAAAAGCACCCCGTAGGGATGTCGGTGCCAGCCAGCCACCCTCAGCCCTGAGCATCCTCACCTCCCAGGTCTCACAGTGTCCCCAGCACGCGTCCGTTGTCACCCGCAGTCCCCTGCAGGCCAGGTTTCTTGGTCAAGAAGGTGAACTCTCTCACAGCGCAACCGATGAAGGTCCGCAGGTCGATGGCAGAGGTCTTGAGCATGCCACCACAGCTGGCCAGCAGCAGGAGAAGCAGAGTGCCCAGGGTCACACAGTGGAGCTTCATGCTGAGGCAGAAGGGAGAGAAGGGAAGTGTTGGGCAAGCCAGCATAATCCAGGAGGCAAGACATGCAAGTGCAAGGGCACAGGCTCAGCTTGAGCTGGGACCTTCCTCCCCCCTGACATACTGTTCCCCATCCTCATTCAGCCCTAGAGATGGGCAGATGTATGAATGAGGGGTCACCTATTCCCAGGAGTAGAAAGCCTTAGTGAAAAGTCTGTAACAGAAAGAACTGGCATGCAGACTTTCCCTGCAGAGCAGTGGGGTTTGCCTGGGAGAAAGCCACCAGCCAGCACCTCAGACCCACTGAAATCTCATATTGCAAGTTTGCTTTGCAGCACATGCCCGCCTGCCATCCGTCTGGGTTGCCCTGAGCTTGCACCAGGCCAATAGCCATGTCAGCCTTTGGTGGTTCTCTCAGCACACACACATGCTGCTAGGCAAAGACCCTGACAGTACTGGCCCTGTCAGGGCCATTCTGGAGGGGCTTTGTCTGTCTGTCATGCACATCTGTGGGAGGTGGCAGGTTCCCTGCTTTGCTGCATGGGGGAAAGCAGCATGGCTGCAGCTCCATGCATTCAGCAGGGTTAGGTCTACATGTAACACCATCATTTTGACCCAAACACTTAATTCTGGATTTATCCCACTTACCTTTTAGCCTAAGTTGGGAGCCAAGCACCCCTGAATTTGTGCTATAACCTCAGCACCTCTGGAAGTGGTACTGGACTTGCCATTACCAATTCTCTGAGCACTGGGTTTGTACTGGTCCACTCCTAGGACTGGTTGTCCGTCCTGCACACACGGCCCTACCAGCCAGCTCAGACCCAACTAAGGCTGCTAAGCTGGTGAACAGAGCTCATAAAACAAGGGGGGACATGGCCAAGGTGAGAAGAGAGGCTTAAACTCACACCTTCTAAGCAGCCCAGCACCTGCCACGTCCCTCTGATACCTGCTGCATTTCTGTCTCAGTGAAGGAATCAACCAGCCTCTCTGGAATACTTTGTCAAAAAAAATAAGAGAGCTGGAAAGTAACTCTAAGCCACAAGATATATTTAATACTTCACGTACTTGCATTGCATTTGAAAATGTCCACCTAGAAACCCCAGACTTGACTTTAATTTTGAGGAAGTCAGCTACTGCATGGGGCAGACAAACTTGTGTTCATTGGCCTGCATCTCAGCTGGATAGACTTGAGTTAAATGATCTTGGCCTGCCTTTTGCCTGACTGATGTTTGAGTCTCTAGGCTCCTGTTAAACCAAATGCTTTAAATTAGCTCAATCAGAGTTTTAGATCAGCACATGAAGTTTGCTTCATATACGTTGCCATGCATACAGTCTTGCATGTGGCTAAATGAGTATATGCTTATATATAAGCTTGAACAGAGAAAAAAAAAGCTAAAATTCTTTATTTTTAAAAGCAGACATTTGAGACCAAAAGAGACAAACTTCAGAACATCTATTCTTTGCCATTATAGCAAAACCTGCTGCTTTATTCATGAGCGGGATCCATGACATGGAGCAAACACAGAAGCACACTCACCTGATTTGTTGGAGTCAGATCTCCTTTTGCAGTTTTAAATTGCAGATGGTGTTTCAGGACGTCAGAGTGAGCAGCAGGAGACCTGCACGAAAATCTTTGTCAGCTTTGTGCTCAGTAGGTCTCCCTAGCAGCTGCTACTGTGTTGCTTAATTGCTCAAATTTATAGAAAGGGTCTTGTCAATCAAAGCAAGACAGAGGCAGATCCTTACTTGAACTACCACAGGCATCAAAGTCATTGACTGTAAAGCAAGCCTTTCATTTCCAACAGCGATTAGCTTGAAGGGTTTCATAACATCATCCCTGAGACAAAAGAAGTATCTTGGTGAGTGAAATAATGAGCATGCACTGGGGCAAAATGGATCTTCTTTTCCATAGTGGAATTGCAACACCTTTGCGAGGAGATTGGAGGCTGGCTCTGAAATCATCATTACCCCCCTAATTAACAAGCCCTGAATAAACACCCTGAATGGAAACTTTTCAAATATTTGTGCAGACAAACCCCTGAATTTGTCAACTGCATAAGACTTTTTTTTTTTTTTTTTTTTTTTTTTTTTTCTCTCGATTGCTCTATACAAGCAGGGGATCAGGGAGGAGGTGTGAGTTTGCAAGAAAAGCAAAAGTTCTCTTGACAAGACAGGCAGCTGTCACAGGTAAGTACCACTGTGCAAAGGAAATTTGGAAATTGTGTCCATTGCCTTTGCCACGCAAACACAAATTTCAGCTTTTCATAGGACAGGGAGAAGCCAAGGAACTTTAGTATATGGAAAACCTGCTGGTCAGTGAGTTCACAGAAGACGAGCGGGTGACAGAAGTGCAGCCATAAGCTCACGCAGTGACCTCAGGAAAGTCACCTCCCTTCCCTGCAGCTGGACAGTGACTTCCCAGCGCTGACTGCTCCAATACCCAGGCAGATCCAGAAAAGCCAGAGCCTCTTCTGTGATTACAGACACCTCAGAGTGATGCTGTTAAAGCAGCTGCAGCAATACAACCCAACCCTGCAAATAGAAAACACAGAGGAAACCTTGATTTAAATAAACTCCATCCTACAATGTTTTAGAGAAAAACAAGAAAAACAAAACAAAACAAAAGCAAAACAACATCTGTTGCTGTCCAGAAAATGCATCTCTTACCAAATATGAAACAGTGATTACTGAGAGTATCAAATAGGAAGCAGTGATTCCTGCGAGTTTCTTAATTTACCTTAAAAATATCACATGTATACTTCTGGCGGGTTGTATTCCGGCCTGCTGTAGTATGAGCTACAGAAACCAGCAAATGGACATTGAGGAAGTGGGATACTGAAGCATTCAAGATCAGATGAGGTACATTACATAGGTGCTCTCCTTTTTTTCAGGGTGAATAACCCATGGCTCAGGGCCCTTGTTTTGCTTCCTAGGTCAATAATGTACATTTGGTGCAGCAGCAGGACTCGTGTTCATGCTAACACCTCCTGGGAACACACAGAGCACTTGCTGTGTTTTCCTTTTCAGCTTGGAGCCACCCCTGCTTGGCTGCTTTTCTTGCTACTATGTGGCCCTGCTATTTTCCCAATCAATAAATTACACTGGTCACAGGCACACAAGCTGGCATGTAAAACACTGGTTACCCACCCTCAAGATTTGCATTTTCTGTCTAAATTAGGAAACGGTGATTGGAAGAAAAGAAAGAAGGAAGCAATTCTTTTGCCCACAGCCAAACAAGACTTGCACTGACACTTCAGGACTTTTTGCATAACCAAGAGTCATTATGTCCTCTTCAGAGATGGCACACGGCAGCAGAGCTTTACCTAAGCTTATGGGAAGTGTTGGTGTCTGCACCAACACAACCAGATCAGACCATCATCCCCACTTTTCTCCTTCTTTCACATTTTTCCTCCCCTACGTTACTCCTCCTAACCACATACTTCTAATGCAGCATCACAGGAGGTCCCTGTCTGGGCTCAGGTTTTGCCAGCCATGCAAACACTCTGCCCTGGAGCCTGCAGCGAGATGGCTAAGCTTTGCACATCCAGATGGGGAAGCACCCAAGTGCGGGTCATTCTTGAGCCATGAGTCTCCAGGCATGAGGTGAGTCTTTCCTTCCAACCTCAGCCTCCAGGCCTTTGCAAACACCTCCTGAAACACAGAAAAGCAGCAGGCACTAAGTGCTATTGCCATATTGGCATTATGACATGGGAAACAACTTCTTTAGAGCTTCAGAAAGTTAATTCACTTAACAAACAAACAAAAAAAACACCAACAAACAAGCTTCAAGCCAAAAATAAAATATGTTTTTGCAAGAAGGGAGGAACAAATAAGAAAGGAACAGAATTTTTACTAAACATTTTAAAACTGTCCTGAAGCTGGAAGGGAGGGGATGTTTAAGATCTTTCTTAGTATTCTCACTCATTATCATTCACAGTCTTGCTAGCAGCAGATGACTCCAGCTTCAAGTGAAGACCTATCAGGTGGGACATTGGAGAAGGAATGTTGAATGGAGGTATTGTAATTGTCTCCACAGACAGGATCACCAGACATGTCCTGGACACATTTTTCTTCCATTGAAACTAATATGGAAGAGCAGGAGATTCAAAGCCAAATCAGATCACAGGGAGGTCAAGAGGAGCAACGTCTTGCCACAGATCTAAAAATATCAGCAACTTTCCACAAAAGACCTTAAAGCTTTTTTGCAGTAGTTTTCGCTGACCAAAAATAGAGCTAGAAAAGAAACCTTTAAAGGCTTTTTTAAAATGTACAGTTTAAAAGTTCCTGACTTGCAGAGAAAGCAGGTAAAAGTGAAAATACTGGGCATAAGTTCACTTTATTTAATTCTGGAAATGTGCCAGCAAAAAATCAGCCCAAGATTAGAGACAGGTACAGGAAATACGTGCCAGATGGCAGATCAACCAGTCCTGACAGATCCCTTTTCTTCTCTGGATTAGAAAAACAGGTGCTGGACTTTAAGTTTGTGTAATTCAGTTTGGATTCACTGACTTCAGCTAACTGAGATTCTGTTCTCTTATCTCTATTTCTACTGAATAACCTCATAAAGGAGAACAAAAGACAAACTGCAGACTCTCATTTATGTTCTCTTGTGTCTGTTCATGGGACAGACACCAGTTTCTGAAGGATTTGCATCATGTCTCATGAAAAGCATGAGTGTTGGCTTACTTGTAGGCAGAATTTTGTTGGCTTATTGTTTTGTGGGGGATTTTTTATTTAAGTTAATTAATAAATATACCACTTACACGTACACTTGGCCTTCAGTGTACATCAGAAATTTAAAAGCTGCATATTTTTTCTTTCCCTGGATCTTTTACATTGATTTGAAATAAAAGATGATATATAGATATTTCTGAAGGTGAATATGTACACCACTTACCTGCGTGTTTGCTGTTTGAGATATGCAGGAGGAGACAGGAACAGACTGACAAGGGGACCATGTCTCATGAGGATTGTACATCCACTCACCCGTTCAGGTTTGTTCGGATTTTCCTCTGAATTCTGGACAGGCAGAACACAAACATCAAGTGTAAAGTTCAAGGTGTCAGAGTTATGAGTACTGATAACTTATGGTCTTGTCTGTTCCTCAGCTAAACTCAAGTGAATGTCATCAGCTTTGCCCTAAATCTGCCACGGGAGCCTGATGCAGCCCTCCACTATGTGTAACATCAGTGGTTATAAAGTATTTGTGGGCTTAAATCAACCAATTCCAAGCAAATCCTAAGGGGGAGCTTTGGACTTCTCAGCAAATCCTGAGAGCCCACGTTGGACTCCCAGTGACTCCAGTTGCTCTTGGCAGGACAGCACCATTCCCAGGTGGATGCTTTGCTCCTGAACTGGCCCCTTACTGACCTGTCATTGGAAGAGGTCCTGATATTCAGCCCATACGCTCCAAGAAGCTTTCTGAAAAACAGCCTCTCATTCAAAACACCTCTGGGCTTCCAGCCTAAAACATGGGGGGCTCCACAGCTGCAAGAGAGCTTGGACACGCACAAGCTCTTCACTGCCTTCTGGATGTGACTTCATGCTGTCTTTCCTTATCTCCTCTCCCATGCACAGAAAACAGAGCAATACCAGGTGCTGTCCACTTCAACATCACATAATACTCCCAAATTAAAATTATCCAAAAAGATAAATTAACATGAACACCCCAATTCTCAGCCATGCAGGGAATTTTTAATTCCTTTCCTTCAGTGATGACCCTCAATTTCAAGCATGCCCTAATGTATTTTTCCTAGTATTAACCATCTACAAAGAGTATTTATTTACTTGTCTGTATCCTGATTAATTCACAACTCAGAGAGAGAAACAAATGGGGGGGGGGGGGGGGGG